CAGCAATAGCTGAAAACCATATGGAATTTTATTTCTGCTTCATTTTGCCTGCGCTTTGCATACCAGCAATGATACTGCAGAATGATTCAAGCAGTTCCCTTTTTTTTCAGATATCAAAGCTATAGTTTTGTTACCATGTAAAATTTTGATTTCCTTCAAGTCCTGTCAATGAATCAGAAGAAAAAGAAAACAAATAAAGAATATAGCCAAATTCCATCAAATTGTTTTCTGTATTTTTTAGCGCAAAATTTCGAAGGGCACTTTGAAATCTAGACCGTATTTCCCAATACGGCAAATACGGTCTGAATCGGCCCCCTGCACTTGTATCTGCTATCGGACCTATCCCACGGGAAAATTTGATACATACGATTGGGAACCTATAGCTTAATTGTGATATAAATAATATAATTGCAACAAAATATTAATTCATTCATCTGATAAAGATTGATTTCATGACATTTCGAGAGTAATTTAGTTGTATTTTGAGTCATTTCGAGACATTTCAAGTCATTCGTGTGATTTCGAAAGTTAATAGGCGCATCTCGAGTTATTTCAAGCCATTTCGGTCCAGTCATTTGCGTTATTCCAACATGGCGCGAAATAGAAACTTCTAGTGTATGTTTATTAATTTTACGCGCGGGATCGTTTAAAAGTATTCTGCTACCATAGTTTTTGTGTGTTATAGCATAGAATTCGTGATGGCAGGAACGATAAGAAAGCTAGATGAAGTTGTCGTCAATCGGATCGCTGCAGGAGAAGTCGTTCAAAGACCGGCAAACGCGCTGAAAGAAATGATTGAGAACAGGTGTGTTGGACTGTCGTACGTAGACTCGTAGTCCGAGCCGACGCAGACCGCAGTAATGGGTCTATTACATCCACTGGCAGCAAGAACAAGCCCGCACGTACAGCACACACGCGGCCATTGACTATAATAACAACGGTTGTTAATATAATAACAACGGTTGTTAATATAATATGCGGTTGTTATAATAATAACGGTTGTTATTATAGACATAGTTAATAGCCGCGTGTGTGCTGTACAGTGTACGTGCGGGCTTGTTCTTTCTGCCAGTGGCAGTGATTACATCGTGTAACATCGTATATTGGAGAGTAATATGTACTGTAACTATAGCTGAGAGGGTCTATGTCCCCCGGGGTACTGCCGGAACGTACCCTGGGTAGATACCGGACCGTACCCTGGTACTACTACTATATTATATGCCGGACCGTACCTCGCCTACTCCACTAACGAGTCTGGGAGTCGCCTACGCCTACGTCCTACCCTAACCCGAACCCGAACCCGAACCCTAACCTAACCCTAATCCTAACCATAACCATATCAAATAGTGACGCAGGTACGTTCGGCGTATACCGGACCGTACCCAGGTACGTTCCGGCAGTACCCTGGGGGACATAGACCCTATGAGCCGAACTATAGTGTATGGCTGACTCAATGACCGCAAGGTCTTTTCGCCATACCCGTGCATTATATTACCAAAGTTATAAATGTTTAATTTTCCCACTGTCTGATTTATCCTCGTTTAGCACAAATAAAAATCTTGAAATCTTGAAATCTATTAGGGGGACCTAGACGCAACCCTAGTATGGGTTAAACCCGCACCCTCAGATAAGCAAAGCGGAGTTATAACGTCAGCGTGCGGACAATGTCGTACGGTACACTCACAGGCACTTGGAGCGTTTCAATAAAATATAATGCGAATAATAATACGAAATTTATTTACTACCAAAGTCTTAATGTTTCTCTAGGCCTACTCTCTTTCACGTATTATTGCCGACAAATATTTATGTGTCAGTGTGCATCAGCTAGCATGCGGCAGCGAGCGTGTGTTGCAGATGAGCATTTGGACGGCATTTACAGGAAATTGTTGGCAATAATAGGTGCAAGAGAGTAGAGAAACATTAAGACTTTGGTAGTAAACAGATTTCGTATTTATTTAGCATTATATTTTATTGAAATGCTCCAAGTGCCTGTGGGTACCACTGGATGATGCGCCACTGTCTTAAGCCTGGGACACACCATGCGAATTTATTCGCACGTCCGCGGCGATCATATCCGCAGCGAAATTCGCGGCGAAAATATTCGCACCCTCATGCGATAATTGAGCGGACACACCATGCGAGTTTATTCGCACGTCCACAACGTACACACTACACGCGATCTACTGGCGCCACACGGCTCTAACATGGCTCCAACAGTCATGTGGTCACGTGATTAGCATCTACTGATCAATGATTCACTGCATTATAACAATCTGCCGCACCAACAATGGGACACACAATGCAAATTTATTCGCACGTCCGCAGCAAAAATATCAAACATGTTTGATCGCTGCGAATTTCGGTGCGGATGAAATTCGCCCGCGCTTGAGCGGACACACCATGCGAATTTCGCTGCGATTTTACAATCGCTGCGGACGTTCGAATAAATTCGCATGGTGTGTCCCCTGCGTTAGCTCTACTCTAGTCCTTTAGCCCTTGTTTCCACACGCTTGTGGCAATTGCCAATTAACAAGGGCTATACTCCGCTATAGTACTACTACTAGAGCTACCTCTGTCAGTGTTTCTGTGCATCTGTTTGTTATGTATGTCTGATAATGAGGATTGCTTCCTCCCAGGGCAGGGTACCCTCGTTCTGAAACGGAGAATAAAGAGAATATGTACATTCACTAGTTGTATACGAGTGTTTCGCATTAAATAGAGCAGTACAAACACAACAGTGGTAACGAGGATAGGATTCCGATACCGTTAACTTAAGGAACACACTGCATCTTGCAGTCATAAATGGAACAGAACCCGTCGGGTTTATACACTATACAGAACTCTGTGTCAATGTTCCAATGTTAAAACTGCCCAAAATCTATACTTTTTTCAAAAATCCTGTAAAATTTCGCCAAAGAATTTTTGGATTCCAGCATGCGGCTCTGAATTCCGCTTTTGCATACGTCTGAAACTTTGGCAGCATTTAGACCTAGAGTAAATACTCTTCCTCCTTTGTTATTCAAAAATTTGCAGCTTGGATGCAAAATCTACAAACATTCAACTCACTGTAAAGCAAGGTGGACTGAAGTTACTGCAGATCCAAGACAATGGTACTGGCATTAGGGTAAGATGACATAAATACGTGGCATTTTATTCGTCACCTTGTAATTGTGCAATCAGATCTGATTTTTTTAAATATTTTTCCTAGAAATGCTCCAGCTAAGGTTTCATGCAGGCTAGTTCTAGATCCAGTTCACAATTTCACAATTTTAAAGCAGATGTTTACGTTAATTTTATTATCACAATTGGGCTGTACGTTTTTCATAGCGACTACCTTTAAATCAAAACTTTTCTTATTCAGTTACCAAAACCACACAGGCAGTGTCTAAAATTTACAAACAGTAATCTTTTCACAATATAAATGATTAGGTGCTAGAACCATTTACGCAGAGAAAACCTTGCATGCGTGTGATCAGAGAATAATGTAATTGGCTCATCAATGTTTTCAGAAAGAGGATTTTGGCATTGTATGTGAGAGGTTCACGACAAGTAAGCTGACGAAGTTTGAAGACCTGTCAGAGATCGCCACCTACGGGTTCCGAGGTGAAGCTCTCGCCAGCATTACTCATGTCGCACATGTGACGATCACTAGCAAGACAGCTGATTCGAAATGTGCATACAAGTGCGTGTGAGATCTTTATATATGCCTTCAATTATTTCTTCTTTCTTTTATTATTCTTATTTATTAGGTCCAAAATAATATTATTGTGTAAACCTTTATTGATTTATTACTATCAGAGAACTATTGTCTACCTAGCACAAAATTGTCTCACTTCAGCATAAAGCTCGGATCTTATTCTTAAAATGTATCTTTTTGTTATGGAAGTCAAGTGTTGATTTTTGCTATTCTGTTTCTTAAATTCAGAGTATTTTTTTATTATCTTTTAGAGCAACCTACAATGATGGAAAACCTACAGGACCCATGAAACCATGTGCTGGCAACCAAGGAACAATGATAACGGTGACGATTTTTTTTAACTGGTCTTTTCATTTACATGCTGGGAAGTTTAAGTCAAGTTTTACGTTATTGGGACTTTTTACGGAAGATGCCCACATAAATGCATTCTTAGCAGAGTGTCATCCCCTGGTATTTTTTCCAACGCTGTTTTCGTACACGGAGAGTTGGTCTGACAGGAATAATAATGTTGTGTGTCCTCCCCCCGTAGGTCGAAGATTTGTTCTACAACATGGATGTGCGAAGAAAAGCTTTCAAGAATCATTCTGAAGAGCACGCAAAGATAGCTGATGTCGTACAAAAGTATATACAAACTATTTATCTATTGATAGCCAGTTTCCTGACTATGTTAATAAGCAAATTAAAAGTAAATCAAAATCCATGCTTGTCAATCACACTAGTAGAAATATTGTTGCTGCATTTTGCTTTCCATTGTATTTCAGATATGCTATACATAATGCTAAAGTAGGGTTTACATTGAAAAAGGTACAGTTGGCCATTTTCGATCAGTCACTGCTTTCCTACCTATAAGTATATGTTAGGTCGCTTGTCATAGTGTGATAAGATTCATAGGAGCAACTGTGTAATGCTTCCCAGTCATACACGTTGTACTAGTCATTAAGATAGCTGGGCCGAAATTTTTTTTTGGGGCCACCAGAAATTTATTTTTTCTGGCCCAAAATGAAAAGTGGTAGCCCAATTTTCCATTGGTATTTCTACCATGACGTACAACAGAACATGAGTAGGCCCTACAAACTTAGCACATTTGACACAAAGCCACATTTGTAAAATTGCATGTCACATTTGCAAAAACGCATGGGCACATATAGAACCACGCTAACACGGCGACAGGTTTTAAATCAGCATTATCTCCCTTCACATAGGAAAGCCGTGTCCGCCGAGTGTTGCGATAAATCGAAATCTGAGCACTTGTTTTGCGCTGTGTTAACGCCGAACAGAAATTGTTATCGCCTAAAGATTTTATTTTGCGCCTGTAATATTTGGTTTTGAGTATTTTTTAATCGCCCAGCAGAGGTTTTGGTCGCCATTGGCGACCGGGCGCCCGGCTGTGTCGAGCACTGCTCATGCACTACTATGTCATTTACACAAAACTATCCCCTGCAGCATATATCATAATATTCAATATATCATAAACTTACCTTTACTATGTAGACTTCTTTTGTTTACTTTAGTATATACTATATACCATGTATGTATGTATATGCTTACACTGTCATTGCAGGGTTTATTCCGACAGTATTTGTATGCTTCAGTTTGGTGAGTCGTCTGCTGACATCAGAACACCACCCAACTCCACGGTGACTGATAACATCCGACTAACTTACGGCTCAACTGTGGCAAGGTTTGTTCTTACAGTTACAGTGCAATTATATGTAGATAATGCTATTTAAAGAATAAATTCAAACTTTTAATTCAAAAATTTTATTTCAAAAATTCAAACGGGTATTGCTCTAATGAAGAGTAAACGTTTATTGACACACGAATCGAATCAATCACATTTTATTTATAGATAAGATGGCACTTAATGGCAAACCCTGACACGGTTTTTGCAGCAGTGTGTTGCTATTAAAGCGAGTGTAAAATTAAATTATCACGCGCACTACACACGTGTGCAGGCAATCAAAATGCTCTAAATGTTCACATGCATCGTTATATGGAGAAATAAGCATGTACAGAGGTTTTACCTAGTGTTAGCCATCAAATAAGAATCAAAATGAATGATCTATGAAATTTTGCATAAAACCTTCAGTGTAAGTCAGGTTGACAAGGTATGGTGCTATTGTAAGTCATAGTAATGTAGTGTAATAATGTTACTGTAGACAATGATAATTTAAGTATAATGCTATTGTAAATTAAAGTAACATAAGTATTAGTGTATAAGTGGTAATTAAGTATCAGTGAAATATGATTACAAGTAGCTCTAATGCTTATGTAGAAGGTATGAAAGGGCATTGATATTGAAACATCTGTGTACTGACAAAAAGCCATCCTCGTACCATGATAGAAGTCGTGTTGCTCTTAATACCAGAGTGTGCACCACTGATATGTGATAAATCTAATTTCATCTCCAGGGAGTTGTTGCCAATATCACACGAGGACAAGACGTTTGCTTTCAAGTTAACAGGACAAATTTCAAGTGCTAGCTATTCACTCAAGAAGAGCATTTTCCTGATCTTCATAAACCGTACGTAGTGGAACTGCAAACATTCTTCAGGCATAGAGTCTAAACACTCCATGCATGCGTCATAAACTATTACTGTCATAGTATTACACTGTTGTACAGATAGATATATTGCATCAGTAGTAACTCGTGAAAAATCGTCATCTAAAAGATAGGACTGCTGATCTGGGGTTCAGAATTTTGTCAGAAACATTGTTAAGTAGTTATGACTTAACTTTATTTTTAATCATAAGTCTAAATTGTCATAATCTTTGAAGTGAAGTGCAGTGGAAAGGATATGACATATTAGTCTTATGATAGTCATACCTATTTACGAGGTTTTTCACAACAGCCCCCAGGTAATGGGGAGTTGTGGATGTGATCATGAAGATTGACTACCGTGTGGGTTTCAGACCGACTGGTAGATTGCTCCACATTGAGGAAAGCCATTGAAGGGGTCTACACATCGTATCTCCCGAAGAACATGCATCCATTTCTGTACCTCAGGTATGCTAGCGACCTGTGCTTGCCCTGAAAGGCACTCTAGTTTCACTTGGAAGGTCGCAGTCTGGTGCAGACCTACCAAGTCTCAGGCATTTCGCGGAAGACTCACGCATCTGGACCCATTCTCCCGCATGCCCTAGGCATTCTCACGCATTCACAAAAAAGAAAAAACCTGTACGTAACACTTCAGAATGAAAGTTTTTATGCCTTAAAATTTAATTTTGTCTTCTTTTCTTCGAATGCTAACAGAATATATGTACTGCAAATACATATTTTAAAGCCAAATATTCAGAAACTGGTCGTGTTTGAAAACATTCTGAACCTCCAGCATTATATTCCCAAATTGACCCATTCTCCAGCAAAATCTCACTGAACCTCCAGCAAGCTGGTTGAACCCCCTGGGCAGGTCTGCTGGTGCCGTACCATGTGGGTCAGTATGCAGTGTGATGCTGTGGTAATGGTGTATCTCGCAGTGTGTATGTCATGCCGCAGAACATGGACAGTTAGCAGGTGGCGCCGCTCTACGCGCGAGTTTACAGGTGGCGCCGCTCTATGCGCGAGTTTACAGGTGGCGCTGCTCTACATGTGAGTTTACAGGTGGCGCCGCTCTACGCATGAGTTTACAGGTGGCGCTGCTCTATGCGCGAGTTTACAGGTGGCGCTGCTCTATCGCGTCGTCGTGTGTTGCAGCCTCGAGGTTGCGGCGCGCAACGTCGACGTGAACGTTCACCCGACAAAGCACGAGGTTCACTTCCTGCACGAGGACGCGATCGCGGAGTCGATCCAGCGCGCCGTTGACGCGACGCTGCTCTCCAGCGACTCATCACGCACGTTCTACGCACAGGTGAGCCGTCCTCCCGCGAGGTCACGACTATATAGTCTGAATATGCTATATATACAGTACTATACTGTATACTAGACACTATGCCATATACTATACCCATATGGTATATTGTATACCTATACTGTACACGATATACTATCAAGTATACTATATACCATATAGTGTAAAGTATACTGTATACTTTATACTATAAATGTATATATATATATATATATATATATATATATATATCTTATATATATACTATTGTCATCGGCATGGTTTTGTGACCACATTCTGAAACTTGCACCCTAAAGAATCTTATCATGTTCTGGGAGTAGTACCTGACCTTATGCGCATGTGTGTCTGTGAGGTGATTGTGAATATCATACTTACCTTTGATATCTTTGGCTAATGTTAGGAATTTCAGGTAAAGTCGCTTGATTTTAATCGCACTCTTTAATTGCACATTTCTCTTAAACTCATGCTAACATATTTCTCGTTTTTCTTGATCCCACAGTAAATTCGTTTTACCTGGACTTTGTTGTTGTAGAAACCGCTTAGAGTTTTAGGTCATTTTCTCCTTTAAAAGTCTGATTTTAAGGACGAAATGACGATTTCATAGTTTGCTCCTTTAGCACGAGTACATGTATAACTCCAGATTACTTTATTGATTTCATAGCTAATTTAAATATGGGTTAATCGGTGGTTTCATTAGAACCTGACACACCTCTAATACAGCCACGTAGAATGGCTTGTATATTTCATAGCCCGACCAGGCTGTGAGACCAACAAGCATGTGGCTAATTCGCAATTGTGGTTCTATGAAGCCTTAAAGGGCGCATGTACTCTCATATACTCTCTCCTAATACTTTTAGTCATAGACATAGTACTGTCAAAACAGCATTTTCATAAAACCCTTTTGTTTCATCAAGTCATCGAGTTGCATCAGCATGATCTTCTGGATGAGGCTGTGTGTTGTTGCTGTTTTGTCTGATTTTGCGCCCTTTATAGATTCACATGCTTGTGGTTTTAGGCCTACCTGCCAGGTGTGGCGGCACCCGTGTCAGAAGTCATTACCGAAATCAGTGACAAGTCTTCTTCAAAAAGTACGTTCTAAAAACTGGTTAAGTATTTTGAATGTAATATGTCTGCACTTGTGAGCAAAGTTGACGTCAAAATATGAGTTCCCACACCGGGAATCGAACCCGGGCCGCGGCGGTGAGAGCGCCGAATCCTAACCACTAGACCATATGGGAGCAACTGATTCTATGTTCACAAAGCAAAACTGTTTGTTGAATTTTTAGCTCACCTTGACATCGTCAAGCTGAGCTATTGCCATGGGTCGTCGTCCGTCGTACGTCTGTCTGTCTGTCAACATTT